ACATTACATAGGATATTGAAGATAAACTAGCTTAAGTAAGTTCAACAATTTAAAGATAACATTTTAACAGTGAGCACCATCAAAGCGCCCACATTAAAACTCTCACGAAAAAAATTTGTTGAAATTTGAGACAGCCGATTGCTCTTGAGGATGATTTTTAACAAAATAATTTTACTTCAAAAAAGTTTGCTTTGAGCTTATTTTTTTTTAATTAATAAATTTTGATTTGTGTCTTTACTGCATCTTCATTTTCTATAAATTACCTTGATCGGACTCATAGGACTCAAGTGGATGCTCTCGTGCAAGTTCGCTCAACTGTCATTTCATTGATTGATTCCTTATCATTCATCTCCCATGTTATTTATAAGAGCCTAAGTCAAGCTTGGTAAATTTTTAGCAAAAGACAAACACATGTGAATAGGAATAACTATGATTTGTTATTAAATGTAGTTTTTACAATTTTTTTTTTTGGTCGAAAATGTCTTAATCCTGTCTATATTGTAGTAACTTAAAAGCTTAAAAATCAGATATACGATCAGACTTTTAAAAAGAAATATAAGGATTTTCTATTATTTTAATTTACTCGAATCTATTTCATTATGACAACATTTTAACATGCATCTGATAATATATATATAAGAATGACCAAGGCTGGCCGTAACGCCAAAGAACCGAAAAGAATTAAATACGTAGGATTATTAAAAACGATCTAAGCTATTTTCGATTATTTTACGGAAACCCAATAAGTGTATATGTTATATATTCGCTTGTATTTTAATAACTGTTTTTAAGCATTATTAAAAATTACAAAAATATTTAAAGTGACAACTAAAGAACTATCTTAAGCATTTTATATGCTTTTGAAAGTCATGAAAAAAATCAATTAAAATAATTATGAACCAAGAATTACACCGTATTACCATTTATCGGGAAAACCCAAATATCAGTTGTTTTAATTGCGTTCTTTAGTGCATGTTATAATGAGAAATAAAATTAAAATTATTTGTTCAAAATAAACACGCAAATCACGTCGCAGCGCGAATCGCCTATTTTAGCCATTCTATTTATTTGATTTAATTTAATAACCCTCGTTACCAAACTGATAATGTATTTTCCCCTTCTTAAATTTAAAATTAATAAATATAATGGAGTGCTTGTTAAATTGTTAATAAAACACACAGAAATTGTAGTTTTTTATTTTTAAAATTTAATAAGTTTTAACATATTTTAATTCGAAAAATATACTTTAAATAAAATTCTAACGTGATAATAACTTAAACTTTACTTATACTTCTAATAACAAAATGCCGTTTATGTCAATCAGTGTAGCGAAACTCCATAGCTAAATAGCATTCACTAAACCACTTATCTCATTTAAATAAGAACAAACCATATGAAGTGTAAAATAATTATGTTAATTTGTGTATGAAAGGGACTACAATCCGATGGAAGATTTTATTACTTTTTTTAAATCTGGGGAGAGGGGGTTGGTCATTTTGCCACCAAACGGCCCAAGATACGTCTCAAAGTAAAGGAATGAATTTGATAAATAATTAACTTTTTTAGGTATATACATGTCAGAGGTATGAAATAAAATGTGTACATTTTTTACGTGGATGACAATAAAGGAATGATACATTCTCTTCTTCAAATAAACATATGTTTACCAATTAAGAAAATCAATCGCATTAACAAAAAGGGATACATTTATATTTGTATACCCATGAATATCAAAACCCAATCATTTTAGACACTTAAAGATTTATTTTTAAAAAATGGAGATCGGTTAATATTTTCTTTCAAAAATTGAAAATATATTTTGGTTTTTACTTTGCGAAAATTAAAGTGGGTGTGTATTTTTATAAGATTAACATTTTTTTTTTAAAGACACTCAAGTCTGTTATAGACGTGAAAAAAAGTTTCAAGATTCTTCTTTGGAACAAAGTATTCTTTGTTTTACGATTTTCTGATAATGTTTAATTTTTCAAAAAGGCAAAAGTTTATTAAAATTTTGTTTTCACAATTTTTAGAGAAAAAGAAGTTGTAGTTTCAGGGCACAAAATAGGGTAAATCTAAATTAATTCTCTAACGTAGAAATCGTCCCTCAATTAACTTTGTAAATGGAAAAAATTATATAATTAATGATATTATAGATTGGATAATTTAAGGCCAAGAGGAGGAAATATAGCATAGGTGTGTGAAATAGAGTAGGTTAGGCGCATAACATATAGAAGATAAATACCTCTCAAACCTTAATAATGTTAGAAACGTCATTATCACTACATAGATACTTCTTTTTGAAGTTACGAATTGTGAAGAGCTCTGCAATAGCAGGTAGAATTATCGCAAAGGACCTACCATTATTATCTCCATCACAACGGGTCATTTATTCTAGTATTTAAGAATTTTCAATAGCCATATAATTGAATAATGTCTAGGCTTTATTTTATGACCTTCTCCGCGGTGAGAAGCTACAAAAAAAAAAAACCTCTGAAAAAACCGTGAGTTTTTTAGATTCAGGTAGTCTGCTCGACGTTACTGGTCGGTCGCGCCACTTATTTATTTTTGTATTTAAGAATTTTCAATAGCCATATAATTGAATAATGTCTAGGCTTTATTTTATGACCTTTTCCGCGGGGAGAAGCTACAAAAAAAAAAAAACCTCTGAAAAAACCGTGAGTTTTTTAGATTCAGGTAGTCTGCTCGACGTTACTGGTCGGTCGCGCCACTTAGAGGCAAAACTTTTGCAGGGACCGCAGAAGCGGAACTTTTATCTGCCCCGCAATGGAAAACGTCTGACCCTAATGTAAGTCAATCCATCATTTGCGGAACCGTCACGTCTCTCCATACATTTATTGGCCATGACCGATGCAGCAGTGACGAAACGCAGCCCTGAACATGTTCAGAAAGCGGCTGCCCTTGAGATCATGGCTGTGTTTTCCAACATACTTGTAAAAGTGTTCACGGACGGCTCTAACACTCTGAGATAAAGAACTGCTGGGTATGGTGCTCTCATACTTCACCCAGCAAGGGGACCACCAAATGAAGAATTTTGGAGGCCCTGTGGGACGGCAGAATCAAATTTCGATGTGGAGCTTGAGGCTATTCACAGGGCCCTAGTGAGAGTTTATCGCACGTTGAAAGAGACGGAGTTTGCGAGGCTCGATGTGATCGTGTACTCGGACTCAAGTTCTGCTCTAAAGATCTTGAGGAAGAGGCCAGGCACCACTCACTTAGTTGACGCCATTATTGATGACGTGTGCTAAATTAATGAATGAGGAGGCAAGGTCACTGTGCAATGGATCCCAGGTCCTGTGAACGTTAGTGGCAATGAGAAAGCTGACACTCTAGCGAAAACTGGGGCACCCCATCCTCATCCAGAAGTACCCACATCTTATTTGGGAATTTAGAACTTGCTGATGGACCATTTGAGGACGCAGTGGTACAGGCAATGGGCAGACAGAACGACCGCCAGAGGCGTTTTTTTAAACTAGCCGATCCACCTGCCGGCATTGTAGCCGTGTCCCTGAAACACTAGCGCACCTGTTGACCGAATGTCCCTCAGTAGATGTCCCGGGGGAAGCCAGGGCGGTTGGAGAGCCCTTTGTTAGGAAAATGTTGTAGGGCTCAGCTCAGCAGATGGAGCTGGTCGACAACTTATTAGCGGGATCTTTAGAGGGCATCTCAGACGTTTTCCAGAATATGTGTGTTAGTTAGTATTTAAGAATATGTTAAAGTATTAATATAAATTCGAAACACATTTAAAATAACAATTAAAGAATTATTTTAAGCATCTGGAACGATTTGAACGTGACGCTGATCTTTGTATAATTATAAATTCATAATCACAATTCTCGGGAAAGCCGAAGCTTCATATTTTTGTATTTGCGTTTTTAATAATTGCGAAATTAAATTTAAATTTATGTTATATGAATGCCTTCAAATGATATAACATTACCTAATTTTCTATCAAACTCAAAGTCTAAGAACGAAAAAATTATAATAACCTTTTAAGAATTTAATTTAAACTCATAAATTAAACTTTGTTTTTTTATCATCCTTGTTAAATAACAGCGTGTGAACAAAACTAATAATGTTCTTTTACCTTTTTTTTTTTTAATTTAATGTTTATTATTATTTTCTTTTTAAATTGTTATATTCCACACCAAATTTTAGCTTTGAATTTTTAACATTTGATCAGGTTTACTTATTTTTCATTCTGAAAAATTTGATGTTATCAATTTTATAGAGAAATAAAAACTTATCGTTTAAAATTAGTTTTAATATGCCGGTTAAGCTGTTACGTGCAGCCAAATGCCACTCACTTAATCACTGATTATTCATCCAACTAAGAGCAAAACCGTTTGAAGATGCAATTGGTTTATATTGATATCAATATTCAAATCCCAATTATGTGACTGATTAAAATAAATAACCATAATCTTTCAATACACGGAATTATGTTTATACGTTTTTTTATAGAAAATTTAAAACGATGTGTATTAAAGGAATCCGGCACTCGAGACTTTTAATCAAGTTAATTATTTCATAAATGTACATTGTTAAAGGACGTTGTTTTTATGTAATTTACACAAAAAAAACTTTTCACTTACATAAGTGAAAATTGACTTGATAGGCGTGGAGATTTGGAAATAGCGTGTAGAAAGTATTGCAAAATACCTACTTCAAATATAATCCCGGTAGCATCGGGTCATATATTCCAGTTTTTTTTACTAAATTAACAATTTCTTAATGAATAGCTCATCATTTTTTATGCACTTTTTCGATGTTAGATGGGAAGAAAGGGTTAATTTAAATTGTTGATAAAGTTGTTAGCGCACTACCAGATGGTTATTATAGTTGTTACAGCACTACCAGATCTGTTATTATAGTTGCTAGTGCTCTTCATCTGCTGTTCTATTAGTGTAGGAGCTGTGTCACGTTATGTCAAGTGGCCAATGTACATATTTCACTTTCTATTTGACGAATTCGTTTTTTTCAGGGACTGGTGGGCGTGGATTCAAGCCTGCCATGGATATAGACAAACTGATAAAGATTTTTTATTATTTTGGGATTTGGTCCAGTCTACGTTTAACTTCCGGATTTCAGGTACATTTTAACACGTTCTTCACAAGGCAACTGTGTACTCACCGTCGTTTGTTACCCAGTTGTGTACCCTGACTACATGTCACCCGGGATGAACTCCCAAAAATGCTCCCCACCCCCCCCCACACACACACACATCTATTACATAGTATTATAATAACAAAATAGAAAGTGCCGCCCCCTTCCCACACTCTAGGTATGGTCCATGTTTCAAAGTCACACCCTTAGGTGAGAAACTGGTCCATGTTTCAGTCACACTATTAGGAAAGAAACTAGTCCATGTTTCAGTCACACACCTAGGTAAGAAACTGGTCCATGTTTCAAAGTCACACCCCTAGGTAAGAAACTGGTCCATGTTTCAAAGTTACACCCCTATAGTAAGAAACTGGTCCATGTTTCAAAGTCACACTACTAGGTAAGAAATTGGTCCATGTTTCAGTCACACCTCTAGGTAAGAAACTGGTCCGTGTTTAAAAGTCACACCCTGTCACATATGAGATGGTATTGTTAGGTATGATCCGTACTTATAGTCATGTACCAAGTGGTACATCTCTATGATGGTTCACTAGTCCAGGCGTTGAGAAGTACAACGAACAAATCACAGAACACTAACGAATGATCGAGCAACTCCTCAGCAACAGTTATAGATAAGAGATGTATTGATGAATATATTACAAATTCATTAAAGTTTCTTTCATAAGTCCAACACTTTACTAACTGGTTCTATCCTTGAACACGTCTAAGTAACGCTGCATCTAGCACTTCATAATGACCGTCCACGAATCTCTAACCCTCCTTATGTCACAAAGAGTTCTATCTTACATACCATTCTCTACCCCCTTATAGGTGGTCCAGGAAGGCTAGCTATTAACCCTCTCACTACCCTCTCATTTCCGGTCAATTAAGTACTTCCGTCGTTAACACCAAATTATCATGCGAGGTCTGGAAGGCCCGAGACATAATATTTTGGAAAGAAACATCCCCCCAATCTAAAAGATGCGAGAATCTATTAACCGTACCCCATGCGCCTAACGATCCCCCCCCCCCCAAATCGCATCAATTTCCGTCAACCCTATACATTTTCTGAAGAACAATGAAGCTCTGTTGTTACCCCCCGACCCAGTCATTTGTGACACACCACTTGGCACGAAACTGGTCCGTGTTTGAAACAAAGTTCATCCTGTTTTGAGACTTAAAATTAAAATATTCTTAACTATGTATGTAATTATCAAATATAAATGTGATGTTGCCAGGGATGTAAGACTTGAAATTTTATCATCTTACCAAAGAGAGATCACGTGACAATGTTACTAGAGTAGCCCTCATTGGTGTATTTTTAGCCACCACTCCGAAATTGACCTAAATTTGTACCGCAGTCAATGTTATTTGAAGTCTATGCTGACTGATACTGAGTTAATCTTTACATTACACGACAGATCAGCCCAATGTACGTCCCGATGGAAGGAGGAACTCGACTAACTCTGTATGGAAATTTTTGGAACAATTTTACAGACATCAACGTGACGATATGTGATGACCCGTGCGGTAACGTCACGTACAATCAAAGGTTTATTGTATAACATAAGACAATTTTAACATTTCGATTATGTTACTCAAAATTATTTACATTTATGTGTATAAAAAATTCATTAGGAGTATAAAAAGTTGACTGGGAGTATCAAAAATGCATTAGGCTTATCAAAAATTCATTAGGAGTATCAAAAATTCATTAGGACTTATTCATTTGAAGCTTCTTAATGCTTAGTGTTTTTAAATCGTTTGTTTTTTAATGTTCATTTGAAATTAAACTGTATTTCTGTCAGTCTCAGTTGTATTATGTTTGTCTTCCAAATAGTGAATCTCCTTCTCATCAAAGCAGCATTATCTGTACAGTGAGACTTTTAAACGCCACAAACAATGCTAAGTCGTGTGAGGTCACATTGAGCTGGTCAACATCACAGGATAATGACAACGTGACCACGTCATTTCAACATGAAACAGGAGATCAAAAATTGATATTTCTGGTAAACCTTTCAATAACGTATATCAGAATGTCTTTTTTTTTAAATTCCCCAACTTAACACCCTAGTCGCTAAAGCTATTGACACCCGGGAATGTCAATGACGCAAAGCTCCTCACGAAAACCACAAATTAACAAACATAAGATGACATTTCCGCTCTCACATAAGTACCGGATCACTTTCTCAATCACCTTGGATCTACGCATCTGAATAAACTGGAACGAAGCCATATCCACATGGTATGAATGAAGGCTTAACCGAGTGCTTACCCGGATACCCGGAAATGCAGAGTCTTAGCCCACCAGCACTTATCCGGACGCAAACAAAATGGAACCGGATCCTGGTGTAAAAAAAACAAAAAATTGTCTTCAAATATTCTATGATGCGTTCAACCCAATGGGGGCAAAATGAAAAATGAATGTATACAAGAGTTCATCTTTTTTTTAAATATACAGTCGAACCCACTCGACCTCGGTTAACTCGACCACCCTGTTATTTAGACGTTTTGGAAGTGGAACCGCCAAATTCTCTCGTTGTCTTAGCATTTTCTTCTCGGTTATGTCGATTCTTTTATGTCGCCGAACCCTGATATCTCGAGCACAAAAGGATGTCAAATTCGCAACTTAACCTCGGTTATCTTGATCCCCGTGACCAATCGCCGGCTTTTGAAAATTATATACAGCAGAAACGGGTCTACTTCAAATGGAAGTAATTAAAATGAAAGAACAATATCGTTGTCCGCGCACTCAACTTGACACAGCAAGAAGTGAGGAGTGAGAGTCTTGCAAACAAAAGAGAGAGGTCGTAGTAACTGCTCTATATAGCGAGGGTGCTGGTCGCTAATAGGGTGTCACGCGTCCTCACAAGTTGATTTTTTAAAAACCCAGAATCCGTATTTAAATAAACTGAACTGGCGAATCCGTAGCGAGAGAAAATAAAAACTCGCGAATCCGGAGCTGAAAAATATTTAGCCGCACGAATCCGGAATTCCGGGATAAACCGGAAAAGTGCCCCCCCCCCCCCCCCCCCCCCCCTGTGTTGTTAGTAAACATGTATGTACATTTGTATAGCATGCCGACCTCTTTATCTAACAAATCGGGGTAACGCTGTTGTGTAATAAAAAAAAAACCAAAACACGTACATGTACATTCTTATTTATAAACGCACATCGTGTACATAAAGAAATTTCAAGAACATGTTAATATATTGCCGCTATTTTGGTTTTCGTTTATCTCGATCATCGGTTATCTCCACGCTTTTGGCAAACCCCGAGGCCGTGCATCGACATACCGGGTTTGACTGTAATTGTACATTTTATTCGAATTAAATTTTAAAAAACAATAGAAAACTGAAAAGTGATTTGTGCGAAACTAAAAGAAACTGCACAACTCTGAAAATATTTTGAACTCCTTGCGAAATTAGTGTAACTATTGTTTTAGTTAGTTCCATACATTTAATTACCAGCAGGGCACATTCTATTCACAGTGAATAGTTTATCTCACAAGATGACTGCCTAATGTTGCAGAGTTGTCAGTGAGTGAGTGAGTGAGTGAGTGTGTGCGCGTGTGGGCGTGACTGTGTTTGAGGGGTATATGTGTGTTTGTGTGTGAGGGAGGGTTATCGGGGGTGTGGGTGGGTATATGTTTGGGCGTGTGGGTGTGTGGGCGAGTATGGGCGTGTGTGGGCCTTTGTTTGTGCATGGGTGTGTTGGTGTGAGTGAGTGAGTGAGTGAGTGAGTATGTGAGTGAGTGAGTCATTGATTGGGTGAGTTTTTATGTAGGTGTGTGTGTATGTGTGCATTTTTAAGCGTGGTTGTGTATCAATTATAAGTTCTGTCACGGACGTCAATGATCCTAATGTGTAGCACACATTTAATAAGGGTAGCAAGTGGTTTAAAGTTTAAATGAAGTAAGGTTAGGATGGTATCACCAAATGATATAAATATTGATTAAAATAAAACATTCGTATCAGAAAAACGAACATTGATCACCACCAACGACAAGCAACTCTAAACGATCCACTTGTTGATGGGTTATGGCAGCGGTTCTCAACCTGTGGCTCGGCTCACGAAACTCTCGGGTTTCAATCTAACAAATGGCCCGGGGTAGCTTGAGAATTTTAGAAATGAGTAGGGTTGTGTGCGTGTGTCTTATATGTGTATCTTTTATTATTTTTAAATTAATTTATTATGATCGGATTAGTTTCTTAATGTTATTACACAACTTGCTACATAATCGTTTTATTATTTTTCAATTCGATTCAGTTGGTAGCTGTCAATAGCTTAATATTTTTTTGAATTGTTTTTCACATATGTTTTTAAAAGTACATTATAATTGCAACAGTAAATTACGAGCCTAACTCGTCTGTGTTATGTGTAACAGCTCATCTCTATTCCTCATTATACATTCTTTTTATACCTCACATCACATGATCACTCACTCCACTTTTCCAACCAAAATTTACACTTTTAACTTTTAACATTCGTGAAAACAACTCGCCATGTCCAGTCATACAACATGACAACAACATGGGCCAATCAGGTCACAAAGTTCACTCATTACACGCAACAATAATTGTCAGTTTCTGAGTATTTCACATACCTGGGATCAAATATTTCTAGTTCTCTCTCCGTTGATGAAAAGATAAATAACAGGATCGCCAAAGCAGCAGCAACTGTGGTTAAACTGAATAAGCAGGTGTGGAATAATGTCAATCTAACTGGTAAAACAAAAATAAGTGTATATCAGTCATGTGTGCTTAGTGCGCTCCTATATGGCAGCGATGTATAAATAACATATTCCCGTCAGGAGTTAAAACTCAAAAGCTTCCATCAAAGATGTCTGCGTCGCATTTTACGCATTCGATGGCAGGATAAGGTGCCTAACACGGAGGTCTTGGAACAAGCACACACGTTTAGCAGATTCTCCGCTCTTAACAAGAGGCGTCTACGCTGGTTAGGTCATGTAAGGAGAATGATGGAGGAAGGCCGTAACACAAAAATACTGCTGTATGGAGAGTTGACAGAATGGACAAGACTTATTGGACTGCCACGCCTGAGATTTATGGATGTTTGCAAAAGGAGCATGGAGGAAGCCAATATTGAAAACAACGAATGGAACCTCATTGCCGAACAACGTTCCAGCTGTCGAACAGCAGAGTCAATATTCTCCTGCGAGAAATGCAGACGAAATTGTCATTCTAGAATTGGCCTAGTGAGCCACTCGTCGAAGTATATGACTACATAGCTACTCCATCGTCTTGCGAAGACTGAAAGATGTCATATATATAAAATCGTCAGTCATGCATACTATCGCAATAATATAATTTATTTGCTTTTTTGTTTATTTTTTTAAAAAATGTAAATTCAAAAGCTAGAAGCGTGTGCTAAAAACTATTACAAGGAGTAAGATTGATACAAAATGTTCTGGGGATTAACTGGTGAAAGGGCGTTTATTCTAAAACGTAGGTGGATGACTCACGTGAGTTTTCACCTGCTCGTGATTTGGGTTTTATTTTTTATTAAATTCACACATCAAGGTACATAATTTCAATCATATTCACTAACATGCAATTTAAAAAAGCTTTATGAAAATTCATAAAATGATATGAATGTATTTATTTACGTGGTATTAACAGCACTTAATTTAAATTTTAAAAGTTAAGGAAATTAAATTCATTATATATTATGAGGGCTTAAATCTGCTTTGCATATCAATTACAATTAGATTACGTGGAGTATGGATATTGGCCCACCGCAATGCCTAACGATAATCATTTACATTCATTGCGCTTTGTAATAAAATTGGATACGATTAGACCGTTTACAAATTACCTTCTCAATCTATATATATAATTCGCCAGCAAAGGTCAAACAAGACGGGTCAAACACCACGCAGGCTATTTATAAATACGATGAGTGTGGTTCAATAATGAGTTCACTAGCGCGTACAATATAATTTCCGATAACTACGCTAAATGATATAATGATATATATATATATATATATATATATATATATATATATTTATTTATTTAATAACGCAATTGCGTTTGGTGCGTACAATTTTCGTTTCGGAAATGAAATCGTCTCAATTTAAGTATTACAAACACCACGCAGGCTATATATAAATACGATGAGTGTGGTTCTATAATGAGTTCACTAGCGCGTACAATATAATTTCCGATATATACGCTAAATGATATAATGATATATATATATATATATATATATATATATATATATATATATATTTATTTATTTAATAACGCAATTGCGTTTGGTGCGTACAATTTTCGTTTCGGAAATGAAATCGTCTCAATTTAAGTATTGTGCAAAAAATATCCGGTTTAAAAGTGGTTTGGACATGAGAATATTAATACAGTTCATGGGCGTGAAATAAAAATTGTGCAGTGACGTCTCATGGGGGAAGGGGTGTAGCAAATATTGGGATTCTTAAATGTGCGTTACTTGAGTTCATGTTTTGTCAAGTAACTTTACTAGATGGGAAGTTCAGGCATGGCTGTCGCCAATGTTTGGCGGGCTATATCTAGTATAACATAATTGATGATCTGGCTTGATCGATCTATGTACGAGGTCACTTAATGAACTTTAATGTTGTTAGTGATTCCTCCAGTCCCCTCATTCGTGGCGTCTCGGCGCGGGAACGAAAGTGGACGTCATGGCAGTGCTTTGTTGAATAGACCTTCCAGGTGTTTGTTGTGGGCTGTGAACTTCCCAGCGGTGTGTCGTGGGTAAGGTGGTTTACCTCCGGGTGTATAGCACTGGGCTCAGTCCTCGTTAGTGTTCTTAATACATCACTATATTGGGATCTTAATGCCCACATTGATTTAATCACATTGGACATGGACCGGCCGTAACAAACAGCTACCAGCTCAGTCCTTCTATAAATGACACGAAGCTCAATTAACGTAGACCATCTCTTGTGTCCTAAAATATATTGTGTCCTTATTTATCAAACCGGTTAATGTTACAAACTTGTTTCTTTCTGCCAGCTTCAAATCGGGTAGGAACAATGGGATTTTAAAGATACTTTAACCCTTATTGTTGTGAATTTAAGGCAGAATGTTCTTTATTTTAAACTATAAACAAATGTTTACTGCACTATTTGTTTTATGTCGCAAAATAATTTTTACTGAATTTATTTACATTTTCATGTAAACAAAAAGAGTTTTTGTTAATGTTTTTTTTTATCTTTTCATTTCAAAGTTGTATGTTTTCGCTTATTCACAGTCACCGATGGCTCAATTCTTTCAACCAGATTTTGGACCTCTGTTTGGTGGCACTTTACTAGAAGTCAAAGGTCAGCATCTTAACATCGGCAGCAGATCCAGAATTATTGTCGCGGGAAACGAATGTGACATTATTGTTGATAAATTTGCCAACAATGGGTTTGTAAAATATTTGACAAATTAAGATTTAACAAAAGTAACATACATTAAATAATTTAATGTTTTAATTATAGATGTTTTGTTTTTTACATTTTTAAATAACCAATGTTTTATTTATACCATATATGATATCTTTTTACATTTCTAAATATTCAATGTTTTTAACTTTTATAGCTGTTCATCGTTTCCAAAGTTTACGTTCTTCCTATGTATCCACAGAAGCATAAAGTGCTCTACAAGAAAGAACAACAAAGCTGCCTGTGGTCATGTAGAAATATACATTGATCATTTCCACCAGAAGTTGACCAACGCAAACTTCTGCTACAAACCTGATCCTCTCATAACTAAAATTCATCCACTGGCTTCTATTCAAAGGTGAATAATCTCTGAAAAAATACCTTGTCTTAAAAGTACCTTGTATCAAAAATACCTTGTCTTAAAAATACATCGTCTCACAAATATTTTGTCTTTAAAAGGGATTTTCTTTTAATGTGAGTTATTAAAGATTTAAAAAATTTCATGTTCGGTAAAAATGTGCAACATGACATTTGCCTCAATGGAAAGGCAAAGCATGCTCGTGGATTTCAACTGTGACTTAATTATTATTACTATTTTAATGTATGTGTTCTGTTATGTAGATTAATGTTCGGGATTAGCAGTGGCGTAGCTATGATTAGTGACGACCAAGGTGGGGCAAAACTCTGAATTTGTCCGAAACTGCCGACCCTTCATTTCCCCCTTTTTTTTAGTAAAAATAAATGATTTTTTTTTTAAATGCTCCACCCCCCCAAACCGGCTGAAGTCCCCCCCCTCTGCCCCACCTATCTACGTCACTGGAGATTACCGGTTGTTGACATTTGAGAGGAAAAATAACTGTAGATAAATCCACTAATAAATGATAATGAATGTAAATGATAATGAATGTAAATAATAATAATAATAATAATAATAAAGTTCATTTCCAAAACACGCTTCATCCCCAAAGGCTCGAAGCGCGGTACAAAGTCAACAAAAAACATATCTATAATTTACCACATTTAAAACAAACGCAACACTACAAAAACTAATTACAAGCATACAATCTCAAAGTCTTTCTAGCCATTTCAACCCGAGCAACACAGCCATTATGCATTAACTGTAATACACAGCACAACGATTTATGGTAAACATTTTTAAAAAACATGATGATTCTTACCCATGCATTATGTTGTATTTAAAAAAAATATCTATGTCATAACTCTTCGTATGGTTTGCTCTAGCGGTGGTACAACAGTGACGCTATCAGGAACAAACCTTGACAGCATCGCATCTTCCCAACTTGCAATCATTTTTAACTACACCAATATGAACGGCAATGACGTAAGCTTTTTAAAATAATTATATATTTTTAAAATACATGAAAATCATCGGTGGATATAATCCCTATGGCATTCATCTTCTGGTTATACCCCATGATATTCATCGTTATGTAAAATTCCCATGTCATTTATTGTTGAATATGATACCCATGTCATTCATTTTTTATAGGATCTCCGTGACATTCATCATTTGATAGGATCCCCATGCCATTCATCATTTGATAGGATCCCCGTGCCATTCATCATTTGATAGGATCCCGTGCCATTCATCATTTGATAGGATCCCCGTTCCATTCATCATTTGATAGGATCCCCGTGACATTCATCATTTGATAGGATCCCTAGGACATTCAAAATTTGATAGGATCCCCGTGATATTCATCATTTTATAGGATCCCCGTGACATTCATTATTTGATATGATTACCATGCCATTCATCATTTGATAGGATCCCTAGGACATTCAAAATTTGATAGGATCCCCGTGACATTCATCATTTGAAAGAATCCCTATGCCATTCATCATTTGATAGGATCCCAATGATATTCATCATTTGATTGGACCTCCATGCCATTCATCATTTTATAGGATCACCTGTCCATTCATCTTTTGATAGGATCCCCATGATATTCATAATTTGATAGGATCCCCATGCTATTCATCATTTGATAGGATCCCCATACTATTCATCATTTGATAGGATCCCTATGATATTCATCGTTGGATGGGATCCCTGTGATATTCATTGTTAAGTAGGATCCATGACAGAACCTGATCACTTTCTTTGGGAACGATTCTTACCCGATGTGTTAAAAAAAAACCATACCAGTTTCTAGAAAGTGTGTTAAATATTTTACAGTGGAAGTAGCCATTAAGAAAAATTTTGATATTTTTATTATTATTTTTTGATACACTAAAAATAAACCGCAGAATTAACTTGAAGGGTTAAATAAATAATAATACAGTGTCATCTTAATGGGGTGCTAAGATGGCGTCGTTTGTCCTGTGTATTTTTAACATTAGGTTGTAGGAAAAGATTTACTAAAGAATGGACAACAACGTATCCTATAGTGGTACGTCAGCAAAACGTTCTCTATAGAGAAATATACTTTTTATTCAAGAAGATTAAAATTTAATGCACAAGAAATTGAATTACGCGATAATTTTAGACTCCAAAAGACTGCATCAAACTGAATCCACTGAAAGTTAAACTTTCTAAAATGAGATAGAATGAAAAGTAGAGGAACAAAGACATTGATAATGATATATTCATATAAGAAAATAATGACTTCTTAAATAAGAATTATTAGAAAATCACAACGATATAACGAAGTCTGTGGAGTGTTTCTGGCATCCATCCGTCCAAATGTGACGCTGTTGAAGACTGCGCAGGACGAAATACACAAGGCCTTTGATTATTCTTCTAGGATTATAAGCTAGTTCCCAACAGCAAATCGTCTCTCTCCACGCGCTGGATAACCCAAGGGAACATCATGTGGATGATACAGCTTGGCACCAGTGGCGTCGCATGAGTTGTCAGAATGTTTCATTATATCAATGTTATCCGCCTACGGACACCATCTCCGGGTTTAAATTCAGAGTGTCCTTCTCTTAGATGAGGTTTACGAGTCCCATCGACCCGGGTTGCTGGTGACGTTTTTGCTTGACTGGGTTTTGGCTGGAAATTTTGCTCATGGACTGTTTCGCGTGCTTGCATTTAATAAAATATCAAATAACCGGTCTATGCAAACACAGGCGCATCACGATCCTGACAAATCAGCTTTTAACTACGATTGAAAGTAGTCAAGACCTTCTTATTTGTGTTAGCTTCATCTATTGCGAATGTTCCTTTCATTCTGTCTCGGTTTGTGGTAGAATCTCCGGACGGCTCCTTGACAAATTTCCCATCAAACTATCAAGCTGAAACTTGGCAAATACACTCGTTGTCGATGACAACAGATTCGATCAAATTTTCTTCCTCACCTTCCTCCACCCCAACCCAAAAAAAAAACAGTTTCTCCTGTAATTCAAGTGGAAGATAAAGGAAATATGATGACACTGATTTCATGAAATAAAATTCCATATAACAGCGCTAAATAACATTCATATTTATTTATTTAATTTTTTTTAATATCGAAAGTGCCTTTCGGTGCATAATATTTTCTTTTATCTCTCTGAAATAGTTGGGGAAATAAATCTGAGGATGGTGCATGAGAATATTTATATAAAATGAATAATTTTTTACATGAATATAAACGATTTATACTGAAAACCTTGTTTTTGGAGGCTGTTTAATTAGCTGCAAAATTTGATAATGAAACCGTGTTCCGACCTATAGGACAGTAACATGGCCAGAGACGCAATACAAGTAGTGGTGTAATACAATGATTATGAAAGGTAGCGAGGATCGTGACAATAAAACATACCGTTTGTATGTGTTTGTAACAGTTGTATTCAAAATTTAACAATTGAAAAGCGCAGAGATTTCAAATATAGGACTAAAGAATTTCAGGACGATTGATACATGGAAAAAGTTGTAACAATATTTTTTTTAAAATCTAATCCCCATAATCTTAACTCCCTCAAATATCCTCTCATTTCTATACTCTCATTTCCACTATCTTATTCCCATACTCTCATTCCCATACTATCATTCCCATACTCTTATTCCTATACTGTCATTCCTATACTCCCATTTACATACTCTCATTCCCATACTATCATTCCTATACTCTCATTCTTATACTCTCTTTGTTATATAACATTTACACACTCAAATTGCCATAAACGTCCTACCTGTACACTGTGAACCTTATAAAACACAATGTGTTTTACATGTATTATTGCTACTCGATAATAAAATTGCCTACTTTTAATCATATGATTTGACATACGTATCTAAAATATAAAAATCTAAGTCTAAGATGTTTTATAAAATGGTCTATCCGTTCATGTCTTCCTTCATCTAATCCTGCAGGCTGAACAAGGCAACTGTAGCTATCAATACAATACAGCAGACATTCTTTGCTGGACTCCAAAAGTTCACAGCTTTACAGAACATCATTTTAAAAACTACACTGTCATTGAGACGGACCTTGAAATAAGAATGAACTCTAAGAAAATTATCATCGGGGACGAAATACCAAAGAGAATACGTATTTTTCGTGATCCGCATTTTGACACAATATCTTCAAAAAACAGTATGCTCTCTAAAAGCACTCCAACTCTTTCGTTGAAGGTAATTCAGTAGTTTCTATTTCTTCTTCTGTCAGTTTTAAAGGAGTAAGAGTTGAGGGGGATGTGTAAGGCCTGCTGAAGGTTCATGTTGTGTACTTTTAGCACAATCGATCCACTGATGTTATGGTATTCCCCTGGCACTTACACCGGAGCTCTTGTAATATTAGGCTTGCAACGCAGGATGCTTGACAGGGATTATAATCAGGTGGCATAAGCAATGTAATTTGGTTTTGGGCTATAAACTGGTTGATTGGGATGGCATCAAATCATGTGTCTTATTTTCTGAATTAGGCACACTTAGTTTTTGTTGTTTTTTTTTAAATCTGCTCGCTTATAAGATCTCATCTCGCAGGGGAATAGGTCTTTCTTTTTTTTATTCCTCATCTGACCCGGGTGAAAAAGTTTTGCAATAAATATAGCGTTAATTAGCGTGACTTCGGTTATTAATATCGTTCGCTACAGAAACCAACCAGCTATAAAGATGTCAAGCTATTTCCCGTATCAGAGAATTTTTTTATATTCTTTTGTTGCTTTTTGTATTAATTTTCTTTTTAAAATCTCATTCCTCGTTGATACAGACCCAAGGAATGAATTTTTTTATCTCTGAAAAATCTCAAATAAGTAAACATTGATTGCAATTATTGATTATTTTATAAAGCGCAATGTTGGATGAAAGGAAATAGAACAAGCCCGGCATTGTTTATGCTTTAAAATAGTTCTTACATTTCCTGGTAGAAACTTACTAATGGGAATGTGTTTTTAGTGTCTATGGTGTGTGTGTGTTTGTGGTAGGGGGGGGGGAGAGCTTAGCAGTAAGAGACAATGGCATTTGTGTAATGGTGTGGGGGGGGTAGCAGTAATAGACAAAGGCATTTGTGTAATAGTGTGTGGGGGGGGGGGGGGTACTTAGCAGTAAGAGACAATGGCATTTGTGTAATGGTGTGGGGGGGTAGCAGTAATAGACAAAGGCATTTGTGTAATAGTGTGTGGGGGGGGGGGAGGTTAGCAGTATAGGCCTCCCGTATAGCATATGCCTCATCACAACGGTTCCTTTGCCTTGTATCTCAATTGTATATACTCAGACCATTCCCACTTAACTTATCAGTCCCTCGTTCTGATCATCTGGCTTGATCAGTCACTAGTAGTATGTAGAGGTGGCTTCTCCGAATCTTCACTCCGTGGCTTTTTAGGTCTCAGTGTTTCTCAGGGCGTTCACATAAGTGTTTATGCAAAAAATAAATATTACATAAGTAGTTGGTGGGATATCGGTCATATTCAAGCATTATAAATACTGATTTATTTACGTCACTGTTATGATAAATTAATCCCTATTTGATGTCTTCATAAGTTAAGTATATTGTTTAATGTCATGACGGTTTTGAATTAATTTAATAAATATATAATATAGATTGAATAATCATTTCTTGTAACAACTATTCTACCACAGGGTCGGGATATTCCCAAAGATATAAATAAAGCAGACATAAAAGTGATGGTCGGAGGTCAGAGATGTCCAGTCATAAAAGTAGAAGTCGATGTTCTTGAGTGTGATGCACGAGATGTCATAGAACAATTCATACGTGATGTAACTAACCAGACAAGTGTCACTCACGTCACAAACTCTACAGTCGGGACAACGACGCCGGAAAATGTGACACCATCATTACATCCAGTAGATATTTCAAGATTTAAAGAAAATGAATCTGTGCCACCATACCCATCTTCCACAACAACGACCCCGTCACTAACACAACCCCCAACACAGCGAAGCTATATGGTGACCATTGAGATTGGAAACTATAACAGATCACTGGGGCAAGTGACGGTATCACTGGATGGAAGCGCCGCGGAAAATTTTTACTTTATAGCTGCCATCGGAGCAGGGGCTTCTGGTTTCTTCATCGTGCTGCTGTTAATAGCTACAGTAATGTTATTGATAAAACTGAAGAAATCAAGACTGAAGAAAAATCAAATCAATTCCATTAGAGATCTGGCAGAGGCACGCCTTGGTAAAGATTTAATCAGTTTCTTCTCTCAACGTGTTTTTTTGTTTAACATTAAAAACTTCAGGGTCTAATACTTTAGTGTTGAATATCCTTACTGCCATCTTTTTTCCCTCTTTCACAAGTTGAGTGTAAACATTAACGCTTGTGTTGTATAATTCAATAGAATCGAATCCTACAGTATCCGTAGTCCGAAGAGATGACAACGCAAGTTTTTTAAGGTCTTGCAATTTTGGGAAATTTTATTTTCAGAAACTATGCCCTTAAGCCCAAGTATTTTTTTTATTGCGATTATAAACGAGAAACATTTAATTTAAACTGCAATAAAAGTATGTGGAGACTTATTAATTTGTTTAAAATTTTTAATGATGTAAAAAAAAAAAATATTTTTTTTACTATGTATCTCTTTCTGTGCTGAATTGGTTGGATCTTTGTTTATGCATATCAACTTTTAAATCCTTGAAATTAACTTCGCTTTGTTCTTGTGTTTGTGACAAAATCGTTTGAAGGCTAAATCACCCAATTCTTGTTTTCCTATCGAGCTTACTCTTCGCACATGAATTTGTTTCCGATGACAAAGCATTCTATCAAATGTTCAGTCCAACCCCAAAACATCAGTTTAATGCTACCAACGCGCGTCCCATTTCACTCAATAAAATTCCCCATAACTGCGCTAAATGAGATTCTTAAAAATATCGCAAATGCGTTTGGTGCGCAATATTTTCTTCTTTTTTTACGGAAATTGTGGTAAAAAAAAAATCTGCCGCGTAAAAGTGGGTGGGTCATTAGAATATTAATTTAGTTCAAGGGCGTGATAAAATGTGCGTTTGTGAGCCACCGGGGGGGGGGGGGGGGGGGGGGGGGAGGACTTAATTTGGATTATTAAAGAGTACTTTAGATGAAAGCATGTTTTTCTTTCAAATTTTCAACCACACCCCCCCCCCTGCCAAACACGAAATAATTATATTAACTTTGCTTTTCTTCACGAGTTTCTTTCTTTTAAATTCTTCGAGGGGGGGGGGGGGGGGGGGGGGGGGGGGGGGGGAACTAATTTGGATTATTATAGAGTACTTTAGATGAAAGCATGTTTTTCTTTCAAATTTTCAACCACACCCCCCCCCCCTGCCAAACACGAAATAATTATATTAACTTTGCTTTTCTTCACGAGTTTCTTTCTTTTAAATTCTTCGGAGGGCTTATTGACCCCTTTCCTGTCATCCTATCGAGTGGAACCTTGGCCCATAGACGCGTTGCCATTATAACACAGTCTAGCAATTTTTCAGCCCCACCCCAACACGAAAAATCAGTGTTTCCTGTCTTTCAAGGGAAATGTGAAGGACATAATCATGCAAAGATTTTTTAAGAACTGCAGCCATCGCCATGTCGCACTAAAGTGCACATAAAGCATGTATACGAAAAAATTTATTTTTATGGATTCTTTAATTTAAATTAATTATTATACAAAGATCCTGGTATTACTTTATATAACACAATATACTACTTAAGGCAACGGAGAAGCGTCATCGCCTACATTAAAACAGATCTTAGAATCTGTGGTTGACGATGACGCGAGAGAAGACATGGACAAACTGATTATTGCCTTGGAGAAGCTCACTGTTGGGAAATGCATTGGATCGGGTGAGTAGGATTTATAGCTCAGTGAATGCAGTAGCGTAACTAAAGGCGGACACCAATTTTAAAAATTGCCTATTTACAGAGCACACATTGAATTTCATAAAGTATTATCGATCACATGTAAATTTTCAAACTCATGTAACCAATCCACGTGATACAGTGAAGGATATTGATTTTGATCAAAGGATTGACAGGTTTGCAGCTTTGGAGACCAGGAAAGGAAAATTTTAAATAAAGCAAATTTAATATTGTTACAGTTCTTAAATACATTTAGCTCCTGGTCTGCAATTAATTTGTTTTTTTTTTCTTGTCATTGAAATCCACCGTTTAAGTTAAGGGGAAGGGGGTGGGGGTGAAACCATGAGTTTAACGCACCGGGTGACACCAACCCTTGCTACGCCACTGTGTGGTTGGGAGCTTTAACTTTTTATCGTACATCAATTCATCAATTTATTATAATATTACTAAATATTTGCTGTATGCATTATAAACAAGTATTATATCACGTTTAGAATACATACAATAGTTGACAAAATCTTACAATATCTAATATAATTTAATAGATCTTGTTGAAGTGAACTCTATTTACAATTCTTAAAACGTAGACTGGAGATCTTTTTTGTAACTTCTAGGAAACTTTGGTTGCGTCTTCGAAGGAGTGTTAGAGACTGGACCGGAGTCACCACCAAAGAAGGTTGCTATTAAAACGTTACAAGGTGAGTGTTAGGTTGCATGCTATTTTGGACAACCTGGTTGTTACAAATACGTTAATACAGATGAGTTGGAACTAGCCACCGTGGCTGACGTGTCCATTGCGCTGATACAGCTGAAACGGGATACGTGGTGATATAAGCCAAGCTAATATTTTATCAGACTTACTACACTTTAACAATGTCATTAGAAATATGTCAACAATATTTAATTGACAGTTAGTGAACATATCCGTCTACAGCAGCGGTTCTCAACCTTTTTGGGTCGAAAGACCATTTCACAGGGGGTCGTCAAAGATCGTTGGAAAACACATAATCTACATTTATGTAGGAGAAATTAAAATAATTTTGAGGTTTGGATCACTACAACATAAGGAAATATATTAAAGGGTCGTGGCTTTAACAATGTTTAGAACCACTGGTTTACAGTAATGTTGGTTGACATTTTTTTTTTTTTGCCCCACGCTTCACATGGGAAACACACAAAAAAGGTTGACTCTACCACCCAACCCCAAACTCTCTTATAGAGGAAGACTTTAAAGATGTCTTTAAGTTGCAGTCAGGAATATTGATTTATTTTTTTTAATTGAGCATTGCAGGGACATAAAATAAATTAAGTCTCATTTCTAAAGAAAAAAAAAGTAACTCGATATAACCATACACTATGCAATCAAACATACTGGACTATTCCCATCCTCAGATCCTATGGCCTACAGCATTGACCTACTCGGGTTTGTCCAAGAAGCTGTCTTTATGAAAGACTTTCAACATCCCAATGTCCTTGGTTTGGTCGGACTTGCTGAGAAAGAGCCAGGAGTACCTTACGTCATATTGCCTTTTATGGAGAAGGGGGACCTACTGACCTATGTGCGCGACCCTACAGTGGTATGGTCATCATAAACTTTAAGTGAAATACACAACACATTAAATGAATATAACAAGAAACGCAGCATGTGGTCGCAGAGATAGAAATCAACGAAAGATACAAAATAAAATATTCAAATAGTGATAAAAATGTAAATTTTATAATAAATTGAGCTGATTCTCAGAAAATGTTTAATTAGCTGAAATATGTACAAATCCTTGGCATGCGAAGATAACCAAGACTAGATTGTGAGTAGTAGCCTTAACTTGCGCAATATTTTATTTAAAGTGAGGGGGTGCGCAATTCATCAGTTTTCCTCACTCGTCCTTGCCTATTTAATTCAGTGGTAAGACGTGGCTAAGACACTGGAAAAAGACCAGGATGCATTAGATGACCAGAAGGGTTCTTGTGTCCCCCTGTGCTCTTTATTCGTTCCATGATACAGGAGTTGGAATATTCTTTGACTCAATGTCATACGGCGTACGGGACTCCTTCTCTGGGTTTGATTGACTTAATTCCAATGAACATGTTTAGAATTGATTGATTTTCACCGCACAACCAACCAGCCACCCTGAAATAACGATAGTGAAAAGACTTCCATCACAATGTTTACCTTTTTCTTTGTGAATCAACAATTTTTTTTAAATATAACATCCAAATTTATTTTAATCGGACAGTGTTTTTATATCAATTTCTGAAAACAAATGTCTTTGATGAAATAAATAACAAGCTTCGAGCCCCACCCCATTAGGCTAAAACCCACGAGCCCATACCTTATATTCCCACCTCATAGCCCCAATCCCACCAACCGAAAACCCACCAGTCCCAAGCACACCAGTCATCACTTTACTAGCCCCGAACCCATGAGCCTCAACCTCATCTGCCCCAACCCGTACCACGCCTGTTATTATCGATGTGCCAATACCAATAGAGTTCAATATTTTAGTTGAGGTCCCATTGACTGTTTCCAGACGATTACTCTACATGACGTCATCAAATTTGGGGCTGACATCGCTAACGGCATGGCCTATCTGAGTTCACTCAAGTTCGTCCACAGAGACTTGGCAGCCAGGAACTGTATGTAAGTTGTACATCTGTCTTGCATCGTAGATCGGGCTACACCGATCGTGCTACATCTATGGTGCTACATCTATCGTGCTGCCTCTATCGTGCTGCATCTATCTTGCTTCATATATCGTGCTACATCTATCGCACTACATCGATCGTGCTACGTCTATCGTGCTCATGGGCGCCCGCAGAAAACTTTCTAGGTGGGGGGGGGGCGGGCAAAAAAAATCGAATAACTTTCCGGGGGGGGGGCAAAAAATTGTTAGTAATGTTATAATATAGTTTAAATTTATTGTAGAAAAATCGAATAACTTTCCGGGGGGGGGCAAAAAATTGTTAGTAATGTTATAATATAGTTTTAATTTACTGTAGCGTATTTGTATGGTGAACGAACGGACAGGACATCAGCTTAGTTACTTTCTCTTTATTTTCTCTTTACTTTAATAAATTGTTTCTCTATTTTTGTCTAAAAAAATTTTATCCAATCAATCCGGGGGGGGGGGGCAAGTTCCCCCCTTGCCCCTAACTGCGGGTGCTCATGATCGTGCTACATCTGTTTTGCTACATCTATCGTGCTACATCTGTTTATTGCAAAGTGGGTTGGTTTCTGGAATGAAGACTTGATTTTTGTATGCACCTAATGTAACACAAATTACACATCTCTTGTTCTTCAGCTCACGACTGCATCATTAACATTACCATCCTTCTATTTCCAGTAATTGAATGCTTTGATTTCACAATTTCCTTGTCACCTTATGACAAGGTATGTAGTGTAAGTAATGTTTGCATTTCTTTAAAGGTTAGACGGCAGTCTCTGTGTTAAAGTCGCCGACTTTGGTCTGTGCCGTGATATCTATGAGAAGGGCTACTACACAAGTGACAACAAGAAGAAACTACCCATTCGGTGGATGGCGTTAGAGAGTATTGAAAATGGAGCCTACAGCACCAAGTCGGATGTTGTAAGACTAAACTTTCTTTTATTCAAATAGTCGGATTTATTCCAAACTTTATATTTTTAGTTTGTTTCAAATTTTTTAATACATATTTTACCCATATATAAATTACCCATATATAATTTAACCATATACAATTTACACA